TGGGTCAGTCCTATAAATGTTTATAAATCATTTTATAGTCCTGTTCTACAGAGTCCAGGCACTAATGAGGGAAGGAAGAGGAAACAGCAAAACGTTCTACAAAACTGCACCCAGAGAGGCAGGTATCCCACTGGCTGATAAAGCAAAATTGTCTAATTATTCTAAGATTGTCCAACTGTATGGCCTACTTAGCTTCCCTGAAGATATAATTCTAAATGTTTGCATTAGTAAAACTAGGAAAGTATAATAAGCAGATAACTAATTATAGCAGGAGGTAATCAATTGACACCCTTTTCTTTCTATAAAATTATAGCATTAGAAATAATTCTTGATGGTAGTCTTAAATGACTGTAACCCTCTTTGTAACAGTGAAATCCATAACAAGCCTCTTGACTGCTGGAATTTTACTTCCCTGCTTGTCATGAATCAATCAGGATTTTGTGAAAACTGACACAACTAGCCCAGTACTAGGCTTTATGATGAATGCGGCAGTGATGCAGGCAGTCTGTGCTTTCAAAATGTTGACCGCTTAGTCCAGAAAAGAGTAACAAGCTGACCACTGCTCCACTGTCCTGTGGAGATGGGCCAACACTCACTCATGAAGTGCTCCCCCAAGCACCCCGAAGACTGAGCCTGTAAGACTGAGCACCCCGAAGAATGGCCCACGTCCTCTGAGTTGGGGGGACTGCAGAATTCACCCTCACAGCAGACTTCATTGAGTGTGTCCTTATCCCCAATTCCCAGTCCACACTCACATCCCCACTCTCTTCTTCTCTGGTAATTGCACCCCACCTAGCTCAACAGAGACCTCCCTTTCCCTCAATTCCTCTTTGCTTTGCTTGTTCTTCCTTTATGCTGAAACCTATTATGAATGTTCAACTTCGCTTAGAATTCTCCCTTTCCCCCCTCACTAGAACTGAAACCAGATTTTGCTGTTCTCTTTTACTACCAAAGAACTGCCCATCTAGACTTCCTCTTGTGCCAGTCTCCACCTCTCTAGGCCAGAAAAGGTACCTTCCCACCACTGGCCTCTTGAACCCTGGCTTCCCAGAATGGCCCCAAGGATGTGTATCATCCCAATGTAAACTAACCCTCTCTTTGGCACTGTATAAGCCATTAACAAATATTATTTTCCTTCCTTATTTCTGCTCTTCACATTAGATTGAATTCTTTCTTCCACTCCTAAACCACAGTCTGTTTTTATAAGCTAATCATAGCACTTTTTATTTATTTTATTTTATTTATTTATTTATTTATTTTGCAGAACTAGGGATTGAACTCAGGCCCTTGTACTTGCCAGGCAAGAGCTTATTCTACTGAGCCATCTCCCCGGCCCCCACTTTTTAATTTTTGACTTGCAGTATAATCAGCTGTCCATATATTTCTCCCACTAGGTTACCTACCTAAGAACAGGGATGATTCCTCACTAAAGCCTGAAGGCTCACACTTTTCAACACAAAGCCCTGCACTAACCACACAGCAGTACCCTGAGTAGAATACCGCAGGTGAAAGGGACTTTCACGCACATCCTGGAGCGCTTAGCAAGCTGTGCTGGGAGTTGGTAGCACTGCATCAGGGAAGAAGGCCCAATCCTGTAAAAACAAAAAATGATAAGCAATGAATTTTTGATTACATCTTTCAGCCACTTGACAAAATACACTACTGAAACACTTTTGAAATAAAGTATTATTTTACACATACAAATTCCATGCAATATACAAACCTGCCCAGGCTCGAAAGGAACAGTTAGTGCTTAAATTTGTTTCTTCTTCTTAATTTTTTGACCAAATCTGTAGGCTTAAATGACTTATTTGAAGACAACAATATGCAATATAACAATAGCTTATTATTATTATTATTATTAATATTAATGTATATGATAGTGATCCTCCTGTTTTCAGCCTCCCCAGAGCTGGGATTACAGATTACAGGCATGGACTGCCACACCCAGTCATAGTGGCTGGCTCAGCTCACCACTGCCCTGGAGGGGGGCACAGTGGTGCCTGGGAACAACAATTGTTGAATTTCCATCATTTTATTTAGTGGAATCCTGTATCATTTCCAATGTTTTTTACTATTTTTTTATTCTCTTTAAAAATTAATTGCTCTTTTGGGTCTTCCTTTCCAAGATGATAAGAAAAAGAAAGAACAACGGCGGTGCCAAAAAGGGCCGCGGTCATGTGCAGCCTATTTGCTGCACGAACTGCGCCCAGTGCGTACCCAAGGATTAGGCGTTAAGAAGGTTGTTATTCGGAGCATAGTGAAGGCCGCCGCCATCGGGGACATTTCCGAAGCGAGTGTCTTTGATGGTTATGTGCTTCCCAAGCTGTATGGGAAGCTGCATGGCTGTGTGAGTTGCGCCATTCACAGCAAAGTGGTCAGAAATCGATCTCACTTGTGAAGCCCGCAAGCGCCGAACTCCTCCACCCCAATTTAGACCTACTGGTGCTGCCCCACGACCTCCACCAAAGCCCATGTAAGGGGAGCTGGGGCTTAATGGACTGAAGAAAACTCTCTTGAGAAAGAAATAATAAATTGAATGCTATACCATGCTTTTTCGGGGCTGGCCCTCCCCACCAGGGTTTCGAGGCCTGCATAGCATGTGGTACCTGGGATTGAACCAGGGCCCTTGTGCTTGCCTAGGCAGGCACTTAGGCTGCGGAGCTCTCTCCGAATCCCAAAATGTTTAAAAATTTGAAAAATCAAAGGTGAGTGAGTTGCATCCCTAAGCACACCATTGTCCACATGACTATAAATGTTGGTTTTAAATTGATCCCATCTTTTGAGAAAGCAGAGTCCCTATTAAACTTAGGCAATATAATATTAAGCTTTTATTTATCTGCTGTTTCATAAATAACAGAATTGCATTTTTATGATAGCATTTCTCAAACGTAGGTATTTGAGCATAGAAATCATAGACTCTTGATATTCTAAAAATAATTTATTGTTTGTGCCTAGTTGCGCCCTCCCAGCCTCATGCAGTCATGTATCAGACTTCTAGAGTTTCTGATTAACTCAGGACTCACTGGGCTTATGGATGTGAGCGCTACACGCAGCCTGGGACAGATAGCCTGAATGCAACATCAGGGAGTCAGACTTGCTGTCTGTTGCCATTGTTATTATTATTCCTCCCTTTTGCTCTTGCAGTTTTGCTGTTTTCTGGCTGCCATGAACTGCTGCCCTCTGCCATGTGCCAGTCTGCCTTGGAGGCAGCTGAGTTTGGGCTAAAACATCTGCAAACTGTGAGAAAAATAAGCCTTTCCTTCCTTCACTTTGGGTGTTGGGTATTTTGTCCCAGGAACAAAAGAAGAGTGACAGAGACAATAACTGAATATATACTGTTTTAATTCTATAATTATATATCATCATATGTTAAATTTTAGTCTAAGTAAGTGATAGTAAACAAGGTAAAAGTATATATGTGTGTATAGAAAGGAAAATTCTAATTAGTGACTTCACTGTTCCTACTTATTTGAAAAAAAGACAACCGTGACTTTACCAGTAGGCAATCAGAACTTATCAAATTTAATACTAATAATTCCTATTCTTCAAAATATTCTCAGGTTTAATCTGTGTACAGATTTTGATGGACATTCCCAACAGCAATTAGCTATGGGGACCTCTTTGCTTTAACATATCCTTCTCTTAGAAATCCATCGTTCTTGTTTTCTGTCCTCTGTGGGATTC